CCTCAGCCTCCCAAAGGCGCGGGATTACAGGCTGAGCCACCGAGCCCGGCTCTTAGTTTACTTTTTAAACTGAGTGGTCCATGCTTTCAACCCTCATAGCTGTCAAATGGGGAGACATTGCCTTTGGTGCTCTGCAAGCTGTGCCTGTGCTGTTGGTGACCTTCTGTGTGCAGAGGATGACACGTGTGGCCTGTGAAAGAGTGCCTGGTTGATGGGATTTGGATGAGGAAGCCAGTCCTCCTGGGTGTTAAGTCACTTGGAGTTGTGCTTAAGGTGCCCTCTCCTCAGTCCTGCTTTTACTCCCTTGAGTCCGCTCCTACTGGCTGCGGAATACAAACAAGGGACTGCCAAGGGTTGCTCGGGCGTGTCCTTGTCTTCCCCTGAGGTGAGTTGAGTCCTTCCACTGCTTCTTGGGTGGTTGCTGCTCTCCACTAGATCTGGGGTAGCAGAAGAGTGCAGGCCCCACATGCGAAATCTTCCAGATACAGTGCTGCTGGCATGTTTCTCTTCCCTAGAAAGACCACAGGATACAGTTGCGCTTGGCCTGTGCATTTCAGCATCACCAGGTTTTGCTTACATCTTCCCAGCTGACTGTTCGCTGTTGCTGCTTTCCCTGCTGGCTGCCTGTCCTTTATCCCTGCGGTCTCCTTTGTGTTCTCATCCTTCTATCCGTTCCTTGACAACTCAGGTGGCCTTGTCAGATCACTGGGAATGTTCTCAGCCTGGGCCAGCCTGAGGAAGGGCTGGTTGGTCTGACTCCTGCAGTGTTAGCCGAGGTCTGGATGTGCTGTGGCCTGCTGTGTGTCACTGGGGCAGACCAAGGCCTCTCCTGGACTCTGGTCTTATGTGTGACTGCCCACCTGGTATCTTCCTTGGATAACCCACAGTCATTCAGCCTCTCTGTAACCCAAACCGAGCTAGCTAGGCACGCGTCCTCACCTTACCCTTCCAACTCCCTTGGGCTCCTTAGCTTAAAGAGTGGCACCCTATGCCCTGTACTGTAACCAGGTCCCATCAGGTCAGCCTTCATGCGCATGACTCCCTGTCTCCGACTCCTCCTGCCTTGGTTCACTGGGCTGTATGGTGGCATCCAAAGATCACCGTGCCACTCTTACCTGTCCACGTTAGCCTAGTCCAGCAGCCAGAATGCTTTTAAGATGCAAGTCTGAACGTGTGACTCTTCTGGTTAAAATCCTATAGCTTCCCCTTGCTCTTAAGTTAATATCCGTAGTTTTTCCAGCTTGGATTCCAAGACCCTGGCTTGCTGTCCCCCACTGCCCCCAGTGTCAGCGCATGGCATTCTGTCCCTCTGCATTGTGCTCCGCCCACCTTGGCCTTTCAGCTTGTGGAATGCGCCTGGCTCCTTGCTCTCTGAGAGCCTCACGCTGCCTGGAACACACCTGCACACCCACCCACCGCTTTTCACCTGGTTGACTCCTCATCCTCGCCTCCAGGTCCCAGCCCCTCCCTTCATAGCTCTTATCAAAGCAGCCATTAGTCGGGTGATTATGTGGTTAATGACTGTCTCTCTCTGTATATCCTGCTTCTGGAAGGAAGTGACCATGTTTGTGCTGTCACTCTATATCTCCATCCTCGTACAATGCCTGATTTACAATGATCACCTGATGAATGTGTTTGCATGCCTGGGTGTAACTTGTCTGAGCCTCAGCCTCCTCCCCTGTGAAATGGGATAGCAGCTGAAGAGGACAGTGTGAGATAATACTAATAGCAATAAATGTTAAGGACTGTAGTATAATATAAGCTCTTGATTATATGTGATCGTATTTTCCCATAACAGGTTTTTTGATGCCAGAAAGCACGCGTATATGGGAAGTTGGGTTTACTCTGTTCAGTACCTCATCCAAAGAACTGAGGTTCATTTGAGAAGCTCTGCCCCATGGGAGGTAGCAGTGGGCCACAAGCTGCAAATGTCCAGCAGCAAAGCAGGCGGGTCGGTGTCCCTGCTCTCCCCTCCCTGTTCTCCTCTCCCCTCTCAGGGAGGAGGCCAAGTTGATTTCCTTACCCATTCCAGAAAGGCTAATCAATGTGCCTTTGTTAGCAGCTTGCAGAGCTTACACTGAGCATGGCCTGTGTGCTTTGAATCTGTAATGGAGTAGAGGACGGCCAGGGGACTGAAACTCTCTTTTTGGGGGAACCTGTTCTGGTCAGGCAGCCTGAAACTTCTGTCTGTTGAGACTTCTGAGAAGATGGGGCTGCAGAGGGCAGGCCGGGTTCCTTGCCCCTTCTTGCCTCACTGCTGGGACCACCTGTTTTGGCTCAGGCAGTGACTTTTCCGTGTTTTTGTTTCTCCTAGGGCCAGCCAGACGAAAGGTGCCCTGAAGAGTCTGCCTCCCGCCCAGTGAAACATGGAGAGGAAAATCCCGTCCAGGGAGAGCCCCAGGAGACTCTCAGCCAAACCTGGCAAAGGCGCGGAGATGAGGAAAGGGGTGCGCCAGCTGGGGACGGCGGCCGCCGAGTCGGACAAGGACTCTGGATTCTCAGGTGAAGGAAGGGGCGCTTCTCAGAGTTTTTGTGACTGGCTTACCTGAACAACTTCCTAAAACTCACTGTGTGGTAAGGGTGGGATGCTTTCCCGCACAGGTTAGCTAGCTAACTGAGCTTCTGAAATGCTGATTTGGCTGTTGTGTCAGAGTACCCACCAAAGTCACCATACGCTAATGAGTTTTCATCTTTTTTCAATTTATACCCTCAACTTTAAACCTTACATTTCCAACTGTTGTAAGTGGTTACTGGAAAGAACACTTAAATACTCATAATTCTGTTGTTTTAGCTTCTTTTTGTTTGTTTGTTTGTTTGTTTTGGTTTTGAGTTGGAATCTCACTCTGTCACCCAGACTGGAGTGCAGTGGCCGCTCTCGGCCACTGCAGCCTCGACCTGCTGGGCTCCAGCGATCCTTCCGCCTCAGCCTTCCAAGTAGCTGGAACTACAGGCGCATGCTACCATGCCTGGCTAATTTTTTTTTTATTTATTGTAGAGATGAGGTCTTGCCAAGTTGCCCAGGCGGGTCTCGAACCCATGGGCTCAGGCAATCCACCCACCTCAGCCTCCCAAACCGCGGTATTACAGGCTAAGCCACTGAGCCTGGCTTTAGCTTCTTTTTCACAGGATTTGTTATATTGTAGGGGGAAAAGATATTACTGCATGTTGTCACCGTGCAACAAATTTGAAGGCTGTCAGTTAAATAAAAGTAGTACTGCATATATTTTGTAAGATAACTTTTGTGCTAAGAAAATAACTTTGTTGTGTTTTAAAATGCCCTTCTAGCATTCCCTCCCCACAGTCTCTGCATTTTGTGTTTGGCCCGTGAGTCACCTGGCCCAGCCTAAACCTGAGTATCTGTTAGAGACAAGAGAATAGAGCTGTTTTCCTTACAAGTTTCTCTTAAACCTTATGCTGCAGCCCAGTGAACTTTTTTATTTTTGTCTTGAGGCGCTTTTTTATTTCTGGTCTGAGGGTAGTGGCTTGGGCATGGCTCTGGTATCGGCGTTTTGGCCCAGGGCAGACATGGTGTGATGCCAGGATTCTGGCCGAATCAACATTCTGAGAGCAGAACCCTCTCTAGGGGCAGATTTATACTATCTAAACTCACAAAGGCAAATTGGTCAGTTTTGTTGATTAATGTATAGTAAGAAATGCAGCTAGGAGAAAACCTGGAACTCTCCCATCTTTCCTGGTGTCTTTTCTCCCTGTGGGCGCACTACATGAGAAGCCAAATTATAAATAGACTGTTGCTCAGAAAGGAGCAGCAACCAGGATTAGATTAAGGGGAATTAGTTGTCCTGCCTGGGGCCAGGACAGTCCCGGGAAAGGCGGGCCAGCCTCAGCCCTTGGAGTTGTTCTTTTCTACCTCTTGGTATTGTTTCCAGGCTTCCTCCCCTGAGGCTCATGTGGGATTGTTAAAATGCTGATCACCAGCCCACTTTCCTGGATCTGCATGTCAGGTCTGGGGAGGGCCAGGGATGTGAATTTTTTTCAGAAGTATGGTCTCTTATGTGGTCAGACAGGTTTGGGAATATTGTCTCTTTTTTTTCTTATAAATCATGTTTGCTTTTTGTGTTTATTTTTCATATCATAAAGGTAATACATGCTCATTGTAGAAGCCTGGAAATTGAGGAAAACACAAAGAAGAAATGAGCCCTCATCCCCAAGCCCACCATCTATCTTTTCGGCACTTCTTACTTCAACAGCTTCAACTTTGCTGGGCAGTTGTTTTAAGAATATTGCACTCAACCAGGCTCGGTTGCTCAGCCTATAATCCCGTGCTTTGGGAGGCTGAGGTGAGTGGATTGCCTAGCCTGCGGGTTCGAGACCCGCCTGGGCAACTTGGCGAGACCTCATCTCTACAATAAATCAAAAAATTAGGCCGGGCTCAGTGGCTCAGCCTGTAATCCCACGCTTTGGGAGGCCGAGGTGAGTGGATTGCCTGAGCCCGCGGGTTTGAGACCCGCCTGGGCAACTTGGTGAGACCTCATCTCTACAATAAATCAAAAAATGAGCCAGGCGTGGTAGTGCGTGCCTGTAGTTCCAGTTACTTGGAAAGCTGAGGCGGAAGGATCTCCGGAGCCCCGCAGGTCAAGGCTGCAATGACAGGGAGTGGCCACTGCACTCTAGTCTGGGCAACAGAGAGACTCCAACTCAAAAAAAGAAAAAAACAATATTGCACTCTTCAGACATAAGGTGACATTAAACTAATCAAATTCGTTATGGCCCAGAAAGTGGCCCCAGCAAATGCCACTGGAATGCTTCCAGCCCCTCCTGGGCCAGGTGCCAGTGATTTCCCCACTGCCTGAGTTCTTCTAGTTACCTTGGAGTACGGTGACATTTGCAAAATCAAGATGGTTTTTTAATTTTAATTATTTTCCCAACTTAGTATTGCAACATTTCAAATCTTGACATAAGTGAATGAGCACCCCATGTGTCTTCCTGTGGGATCCACTGTGTCATCATTTTGCCCTGTCTGCTTTCTACACACACACACACACACACACACACACACACACACACACACACACACACACACACTGGGCTCACTATGTTATCATTTTGCCCTGTCTGCTTTCTCTACACACACACACACACACACACACACACACACACACACACACACACACACACACACACGGCTATTTGAAAGTAAGTTGCAGACAGCTTGACATTTCACCCTTAAATGCTTCAGTGCAAATCTCAATAGACACAAGGGCATCCTTCTGTGTAATTATAATGTCATTGTCATACCCAAGTCTTTAGCTGCAGTCCACATTTGATTCTCCCCATTGTCCCAATAATGTCCTTGATAGCTGTTTTGTCTATCTGTTTTGAATCTAAGATCCAGTCCAGGATTGTGCGTTGCTTTAATTGTCCTGTCTTTTTAGTCTGATTTTGTATGGATCAACTCCCCTATTTTTTCTTTCCTTTTCTTCTTTCTTTATGACATTGACATCTTTGAGCAAATCAGGCCTGTTGTTTTGTAGAAAAATCCACTCTGAATTTTCTGGTGGGTTTCCATTATTAGAATCAAGATATACATCTTGACCAGAATACTGCATTGTTGATGCTGTGTCCTTCCCATTGCAACACTTAACTCCTGGTGAGTTAGTCGTATTCTTGGTGATACTCTGGTTGGTCGCTTGCTTGCTTCACTTGTTAAGATGATGTGTACCAGATTTCTTTCTTTTCTGTTTTTTGAGAGAGGATCTCACTCTGTCACCCAGGCTGGAGTGCAGTGGCTTGATCTTGGCTCACTGCAGCCTTGACCCCTGGGTTCAAGCAATCCTCCCACCTCAGCCTCTCAAACAGCTGGGACTGCAGGCACATGTCACCAAGCCCAGCTAATTTTTAAATTTTTTTTGTAGTGACAGGGTCTTACTATGATGCCTACACTGGAACATCATTATTTTTGATACTCAAATTGTCTCAAATTTGGCCAGCAGGAGCCCCTTCTAGGCAGCACCTGTGTCATTTTGACATGTCCCCTTTAGCATTTTGAGCCCTTCCTTGCTTGCTGGGACAATAAGCTGTCCAGGCTCATCTTGTACCTTCTCTGCCAAACACTTGGATTCAGCTGTTTTCTGAAGAGCCCTGTTTCCCCTTATGGCACTTACAAGCCAAGATCCCGCACTAGGTGTGTACACTCCTTCTGGGGCCACTGGTTTTTGGCCTAATGGCTCTTAACTAGAGGAGCACATGGGGAATACTTGTACTTTGTGGAAATACCCCTGCCAGGGCATCAGGCAAGTCATTTCAGTAGATCAAGGGCAGGACCTCAGCAGTCGTCGTTTTGAAAAGTGTCGCTGGAGAGTCTAAATCTCGCTCGATGAATATTCTTCTGGGCATACAGTCTTCATTAAGCTGAAGAAAATGCAGTTGTTGAGAGGGTGTTCGTTTGCATTACAGTCTCATCTCAACCTTGCCTCATCCAGATGACTCCGAGATTTGCAATGAATGCTCAGGCTGTCCCCAGACCCCTCAGCACAGGGCGCTACAGTCTCTCAGTCTACTCCAGCGGGTGGCTCCTCACATCCTTTTGAAATAAAATTCATGCAGGGTCACCTGACTTTCCTTACCTTGGAAAGCATCTGTCTATAACCCATTGTGCAGGATCCCCAGCGGGCACACTCAGCTTGTGTTTAGGCCACCAGCAGAGAGCCATTTAAATTTCAGCTTCCAGCCGGCTCGGTGGCTCAGCCTGTAATCCCGCGCTTTGGGAGGCTAAGGTGAGTGGATTGCCTGAGCCCGCAGGTTTGAGACCCGCCTGGGCAACTTGGCAAGACCTTATCTCTGCAATAAATCAAAAATTAGCCGGGTGTGGTAGCGCGCACCTGTAGTTCCAGCTACTTGGAAGGCTGAGGCAGAAGGATTGCCGGAGCCCAGCAGGTCGAGGCTGCAGTGGCTGAGAGCGGCCACTGCACTCCAGCCTGGGTGACAGAGTGAGACTCCAACTCAAAAAATAAATAAATAAATAAAAATTTCAGCTTCGATGCACTAATCCAGAACTTTACAATTCAGAGATTTCGGAAGAGCCTTCTATGTTTCCGCTTGAGTGCAAGGTTTGAGGTTTGCAGATTGGCTGTGTGTTTATTATAATTACATCTCATGGTATCCTGAGCCACTAAAAGCCGTAATCCTGTCTTGGGTCTCACACTCCCCTGCCTTCTCCACAACAGCTTCTGGAAAGTAATGCACTAACTTGAAAACCTTGACCTCATCTCTCCTATAAACTGGTGGTGATTACTTTCACGTAAGCCTTAATTGAGGCAGGTTTTCGTCTTTACCATAGTTAGAAAGGAAGTCACGTTCGTCCTAGGGCAGTGATTTCTTAATCTTTCAGGTTGGGAGGGGCAATCACAGATTCCATCAAAAAGCCATTGAAATCTGAAGACCTCAGGAAAATTCACAAACATGCATCACAAATGTTTCGTTCAATTTCAAGTGGCCCATAGCCCTCCGCCTAGAGCCCAAGTGACCTGACTGCTCTTCTGTCTACCAGATGGGAGCTCAGAATGCCTGAGCTCTGCAGAGCAGATGGAGTCCGAGGACATGCTGAGTGCCTTGGGCTGGAACCGAGAAGACAGGCCAAGGCAGAACTCCAAAGCTGCAAGCAATGCCCTCCCTACGCTGTCCCCCATGGTTGTCATGAAGAACGTGCTGGTCAAACAGGTGAGGAGGACCAACAGAGCCTAAAAAAAGTCTCTGGAGAAAGATCTCTGAGCTTCCTGTGTACGGAACTTCTTCCCTTCTGCCAGGGAGAGCTTCTAGAAGCAGAGCTTGAGCCACACTGAGGCGTGCATTCTGTCCTGGGGAGCGGGTGTTCTCTTTCAATTCCTGACACTGTTTTAAAAAGGAATACAAGAATCGTGACGTGTGTTCTCATTTTTGAGACAGTTAGATTGCTTTATTTCTGTATTTGAGGTTCATCCAAGGGGACCCTGAAATGCTTTAGTCATATATAAAGGAAGCAGGCAGAAGTGGCATCATTTCAGCTGGGCGTCCTGACATATGGCAGGGCTTAGGGTAGAAATCAAAGAATCTCTCCTTAATTGGAAGTGCCCTGGGATTTAGGAATGCAAAGTGCACTGATTTGTTTCCAAAGTAGAGGTGATGTCCATGTTTCCTATGTCACGTTCTGAACCTGTTGTTAGTAACAGAGCTGCTCTGGTTCAGGTCTGGGACACCAGCAGCGTCCACACAGCTTTGTTGTGGAGTCGAAAAACATCCTGTTTGGGGCCTTATTATGTAACTGTGAGTATTATGTGATTATTGTTCAGGCATGAAAGAAAAGCTTTAGGTGAAAATCTAAGTTAAGCTCCAGGGTCTAAAGCTGAGAACTTAGTCACATGAGTTTGGTTAAACTAGCATAGAGAAGTCTGAGATGTAGAAAAGCTGGGTTTAAGCCAAAGCAAAGGAGCCTTGCCCTGTGTCCTCCGAGAGTTCACTGCTCTCCCGTGGCTCCCTCCCTCCATGGGGCACTTGAAGATAGTGAAACATGAAATCGGGCTTCAGTAGTTGACCTTCCCACCAAGATATAAGGTCGGACCCTGCAGCCTGATAGGAAACTTGAATGTCTTAGCTATTATCTAGCTATTTCTGAGGAACACAGAATTGTTTTCAACAAGGTAGCCTGGTGAGTTCTATGAAGGAATTTGAAGATGTCTGTTTGGTGAGTCAGATCTCAGCTGGACGCACCACTCTCCTCACTGAAAGGAAAGAGAGAATAAGGACAGGAAGTATAGCCCCTGGGGCTGCCCAGTGCTTCCTGGGGCCTCCTCTCTCTGGGCTTTCTCTCTGGCTTCCTGGTCACTTTTTCGTGTGTCGTGTTCACATCCTTTCCTGTTGTAGGCTGGGCTAGCAGGCCCTTCCAGCAGGGTCACTTGCTTCAGGACAAAGGCCCGGGAGGCTTCTGGGCCTGGGCGGAGCTCGGAGGCTCGGGGCAGGCTGACCCCTTGGAGGAGTCAGAGTTATGTTCTTCAAACCTGCTGGAATCCAACACATTCTAAAATTAGTAATACATTTTTTTAAACTTCTGATTATCATGTGGTATCTTGATTACAGCAGCTTGGTTTGTGGTATTTTTCTTTTGAGAGTCTGATTCTGTCTCAGTCACTGGACAGTGTGCTCTTACACACAATTAATTAACTACCACGTGTATCTGCTGCTGCTTCTTTAACATGAAAGCTTTATGTGAAATGATTGAGATCCTGCCCAAGTCTAAATTTTTTTTTAATGTTCCCTCAGATGGTTTTAGCATCAACAGTTTTTGTAAAATCTAATAATTCGGACAAATAAGTGTTAAGGAGGACAATGGGCATAACAGGAGCATAAGGAAGAACAACCCAAAAACGATCTTGGGAAAGCAGTGCATTCGCTGTTTCCTGGGGCATCTGCCTTGTGGGTCAGCCCTGAGGGAGGGTGTGAAGTTTTGCTCCTGACTGACCTGGAGTAGGCTGATGTCTGTCTCAGAAGACCCCTGGTGTGGGATCTCCTTGAACAGGGAAATGTAGTATCAGGATCTCGTGTCACTGGCCTCCACAGGCCCCAGAGTGTCTTCGAACACCAGCCTTTGCGCAGAAGGTGAATCACAGTCAGCCTAAAGTTCCTAGCCTGGCATCAAGAAGCTGACTGGGTGCAGAACGGTGTACAAACCCGTGTGTGGGAGATCATCCATAATGTTCTTCAGGTAAATCTAATGACCCCATGGTTCCAGCGAGGATGGGAGCCTCTGCCAGGCTCGCCCTCTGCCTGGCTCCATCTACACTTAGACTCTCGGGACCAGGTTGGAACTGGATGGCTTTCACATATGGAGACAAAGAGTCACGTTGTCCTTTCTTAGAGTCATCTGAATCAATACTCTTTTTTCTTTGAGTTGGAGTCTCCGTTGCCCAGGCTGGAGTGCAGTGGCACGCTCACAGCCACCCCAGTGTCAATCTGCTGGGCTTAGGTGATTCTTCCGCCTCAGCCTTCCAAGTAGCTGGAACTACAGGCGCGTACTACCACGCCCGGCTATTTTTTGATTTATTGTAGAGATGAGGTCTCACCAAGTTGCCCAGGCTGGTCTTGAACCCCTGGGCTCAGGCAATCCTCTCGCCTCAGCCTCCCAAAGTGCTGGGATTACAGGCTTGAGCCACCACACCCGGCCCGAATCAGTACTTTGATTACAAATAATTTAGCATGGTGGCTCACGCGTGTAATCCCAACACTTTGGGAGGATGAGGCGGGAGGATCACTTGAGCCCAGGAGTTCAAAACAAGCCTGGGCAACACAGCAAGACCTCACCTCTGCAAAAATTATCCAGGCATAGTGGGACAGGTCTGTAGTACCACCTACTTGGGAGACTGAAGCAGGAGGATCGCTTGAGCCCAGGAACTCAAGGCTGCTGTGAGCTGTGATCGCACCACTGCACTCCAGCCTGGGTACTGAGCAAGACCTTGTCTCAAAAAGAGTGAAAAATTTTTTATAAATGTGTAATTGAGGAGTAGTGTAACAAAGGCAGTTTAGCAGGATGGTGCAGATGGACTGTAGAGTCGCATGGAGGGTGGAAACCCGCCTACGTCGCCTGTAGCCTGGTGACTTAAAGCAAGTTGTTTCCTCCTGGAGCTGTGATTGGCTGTTAGTGACGTCACATAAATCGCTGCACACAAAGTTAGCCTATAGACAGTACCACTAGCTGTTACTATTTTTTGAATGGCTTTATGACTGTCAGATGTCACCACCCTAAAAACAGAGGCCCATAGGCTCCTGACGATATGTAACTTTTTCATCAAAAGATTGTTTTCAGGTAGAAGAGGTTCTGGGTGTAGCTAAATGAAGATGTGCTTGCTGTAAAGTCACATTATAGTCTTGAGATGAGCATGTTTTTAACTTGTGCCAAGAATCCACGTTTCTGTTGTCTCCATTGTTTCCTGAACTATGTCATGACTTTACCTACACATCATTTCTTTTTTTGAACGCTAACACTTGAATAAAAGGAATATTTCCTCCATTTTTCCCCTAGGAAAGGTAAACACAGATGATTTGTAGGATCAGACCCAAATGGCATCTCTAGCCGCTTCTTCGGTCTTGTTCTTGACAAGGGCGGCAGGTCGGGGCAGCTCTGTCCTTGGGCGGTCTGGGTGTCGCAGCCCTGCTCTGCCCCTCTTTGGCAGTCACGAGTGTCATACTCTTCCTTTGTCCCCAGGGAAGCAGCTCAGCACAGCTGCAGTCATGGACGGTGCAGCCCTCCTTCGAAGTGGTCTCAGCCCAGCCGCAGCTCCTGTTCCTTCCCCCGCCTGTTCCGTCTCCGGTCAGCCCATGTCACACGGGCGAGAAAAAGTCGGACCCCAGGAACTACTTGCCCATCCTGAACTCTTACACCAAAATAGCCCCACACCCAGGCAAGAGGGGCCTTTCCCTTGGCCCAGAAGAAAGAGGAATGAGTGGAGCGCAGAAGAAGCTCTGCACCGGGAGACCGGGGCCAAACCTGGCTTCCCGCGAGCCAGCTAAGACTGGTGCTGTCCCCTCCCGTCCCCCGACACCAGCGCCGCGGGGTGCCAAGCTTGCCGAGGACTCCACTCTGCAAGGCGTGCCCTCCCTGGTGGCTGGTGGAAGTCCACAGACTCTGCAGCCAGTGTCCAGCAGTCACGTGGCTAAAGCCCCCAGTCTGACCTTTGCGTCCCCTGCCAGCCCCGTCTGCGCGTCGGACAGCACCCTCCATGGGCTGGAGAGCAGCTCGCCCCTGTCACCCCTGGCGGCACATTGCAGCTCCCCACTGTGGGCTGCGGGGAACCTCTGCCGCAGCCCAGAGCTCTTCTCGGAGCAGCGGCAGAGCCGGCACCGGCGCTTCCAGAACACCCTGGTGGTCCTGCACAAGTCGGGCTTGCTAGAGATCACCCTGAAAACCAAGGAGCTGATCCGCCAGAACCAGGCAACTCAGGTGGAACTCGACCAGCTCAAGGAGCAGACCCAGCTGTTCATAGAGGCCACCAATAGCCGGGCCCCTCAGGCCTGGGCCAAGCTGCAGGCCTCTCTGACGCCCAGGGCCAGCCACACTGGCAGCGACCTAGAAGCTGTCTCTGACCACCCAGACATATAGCACAGAGCATCTTCCTGATGCCTGAGTGGTTCTTTCAACTCTTTTGCTGTTACCTACTTCTGTTTCCCAAAGCTTATGTAAGCGCTTTTCCTTCTAAACTTAAACTGTGTGGGGGGTCACCTCGGAAGCCACATGCTAAGACCTGGCTGCTGTCTTGGCCTGTGCTCTGGGCAGAGGTGACATATGTCTCTCTTCCACTGAGGACCTCAGCTTCAGAGTGTCCTTGGGTCCCTTTTCCTTGGCTTGCAGGCACTTAAGTGGGTCATGGGGCAGAGCAGGGGAGATGATTGTGTGGGGTGCTTCTCTGTGTCACCTCCTCCCATCCCACTCACCAGGATCCAGGGCGTGGTGACACAGGTGTGTGAGACAGGGAGGCGACATAAGGATCCCTTCATGGGTCTTCCCTGGCCTGTCTTATTCACAGAGAAAAACTTGGGAGGAGGTGTGTTTGTGTCCACCAGGCGGTGTGCCAGTGGGTGGAACCTCAGATGTCCTGGGCATGGGTTGTACCTGAGTATAAGCACCTGATTGCACAAGTGGTGTTTTCTTAAGTCCTAAAGTGAAGGGAAAGGGTGATACCATTTGACTCATACACTTTCTTCACAAACTAGGTTTCTCTCTACTTAAAGCAGTAGGTGAAATACTTTTGATTTGTAAGGTGTGGGATGTATTCAGTACCATCTGGAATCATAGCTGATGAGTTAGAGACCCAGGAAAACAGACATGACCAGCATCTTATGGTTGGGAACCGGAAGAGTCCGATAACTTGGGTGTTTACTCAGGTTTTTTTGAAACAGTACAACCTGTTTTATGTCTAAAAATCTTGAAAGTAGCTGCTGTGGTTCCTGGGGTGCAGGATAAGTTAACCCTCTGTTGCCATCTTAGGGTTTTTGTTTTGCCTTTTGTTTTGACAGAAGAGGAAAGAAGTGATTATTATGCTTGATAAACTTTGAATTCAATAAAATTGTCTTCTGGAAGGTATGATAATAAGTATACAAAAAATTAGAAAGCACTCTTCTCACCCATTTTTTTCCCCTCCCAAGTTTTCACTTGGTCCATGTCACAGTGGTGGGAGCAGGCGCAGAGCAGGGCCTTGTGTGTTTCTTCAGTGTGTTCAGTGTAGGCTGTGCAGTCAAGGGGTGGTGGTGGTCACATGAAGTTCATCTCAGAATGGAGAACGTGCTGAGTTTCCAGATGACACCCGTTCGTCTCAGCTCATCGTGTGGGTAACTAGACTCCTAAGTAGCAAAGTTTCAGAATATTCTCTCATTAAAAAATGTCAGCCTCTTGGGGTCCTTTGTTCTTTACAAAGGTACCTTTGTGTGAAGTTGTATGTGACCAGCTTCATCTTTCCTGCAAGGTGTTCTTGAAATTTCACCAAGACCAGAAGTCGAGGGTCACATTCCTAGGAGTTGCTGGCATCACGGAATGATGAGGCAGCCTGAGGTTGCCTGTGCTGTGTTCACAAACACATCTGATTTAGATGCGAAAGGTCTAGAAAGAGGCAACTCAGTAACATCACCAGACTCCCCAGGCATCATGGAATTATTACCTGCCATTTGCTTTCTGAAGGAGTTTCAAAAAATGAGAGCAAGTGTGTCTTTCAGCCGACTCGGCTCCTTTTAGACCTTTGATCTTGGCCCACGCCTTGCCTCCCCTGAATCTATGGTGCTGTAGCCGCTCCTTGTGCACCATGCCAGGAAGCTTCCTTTTTGGCAGAATTGTCTGGCAGCAGAGCTAAAGAGACAGGTGTGTTCAGAACAGCCTGGGCACCAGTCATGAGTCTTACTGAGTGTCAAAAATCTGAAAGCACTTGCTGAGAACCAAATTTATTCCATTGGAAAAGCCCTCTGCGGAGCACTGAGCCTCTTCTTCCTAGAGGAAGGCTTGCATTTCCTTTCCTGTCACAGTAAGAGCGGATGAAAGCCATCATCCAGCCTCTGGGCGAGCAGCAGGGGAGGCAGTCCTGCCCCGGCTCTTCTCCAGGCTTGCAACTTGGTGCTTCCCTGTCTAGGCTGTTAAGCATGGGTGTTTACTCCCCAGTGGAGACACGGGGTCTCGGAGGGAGAGATCCACTGAGGCCAGCAGACGTTTGGGGTCGGAAGCCAGATCGGCCGGCGGAGGAGCCTCAGAGCTGACCAGAAGGATCTCCAGCACTCGCACAGGCTGTGAGTAGCGAGGGTCATGACATGCGTGAAGTAGCTGGCTTGGAAGCTTGGCAGAGCGGCGGCGTTCTGGAGTGAGAAGCCACTTTTAGCTCAGAGCAGCCCTTAAGAGAACTTTGGCAGGTTTTGTTGCCATATAGAAGCATGTCTAGAGAAAGTTGCTGATTGCAATGGTTATGGGAATGGAGTTGAGTGACATTTGTAACTTATCCACCCTTGTTGCTTCTTATTGATTATAGTTTTGTCTGCCTTTTCTTGTCTGCTATGGTTCCTTTAGCAGAAAAGTAACCCCCGTGCATATATTGAAGTAGTTTTCCAGCTATGAATTCTTTAGGGTAGACCTTTATTTAGCAAATGTGAATTCTTTTGAGACAGTATGAAGTTTTCTAGAAATTGACTGTGAAATGTCAGAGAAAAATAAAAGTCACTTACTTGAAAACTATTTGGCCCTTTTGCTTCGTAACCCCTTAAAAATACTAAGTGAAACCCAGGGTAAATATTTGAATTGGTTTACATTTCCAGCAGAGGTACCTGTGTTAATGTGGGAATGTGGATTCGAAACTGAGCGTGTGAGATCCACTGTTGGGAATTCCACCACCTGAACTCACAAGGCAACAGGCAGTCCACCCTTCCCTGGTCTGGGGGTGTGCTGGGTGGGCTGGGAGGAGTGAGGGGAACACACTCCAGTGACGTCACCCACTCATCCGACACTTCCACACACAGAACGTTTAACTGACAAAGCTACTACAGTTGTATGCCATGTGACCTAAAGCCACATCAAGGGAAGTTCTGTCCACAGCACAAGGGTACACCTCTGAGGCCCCCCCCAAAGCCCTCTCCTGGCCAAGGTTCACCTGGAGAAGCTCATCAGGGAGACAGGGAGTCCTCCCTGCTTCCCAGGCTGGCAGGAATTCCTTCCTGGGATAAATCCCAGGGAAATCAAAAGCTGATCATCACTCACAAGACCTGGAAGAATGTCACATCTATTTCTTTCTTTTTTTTTGACTCAGAATCTCACTGTCACCCAGACTGGAGTGCAGTGACACACTCACATCCAGCACAGCCTCCACCTGCTGGACTTGGGCGTTCCTTCCACCTCAGCCTGCCTAGTAGCTGGAGCCACGGACGAGCTCCACCACGCCCAGCTAATTTTTTGATTTATTGTAGAGGCGAGGTCTCACCAAGTTGCCTGGGCTGGTCTCAAATCCCTGGACTCAGGCAATCCTCTCACCTCCACCTCCCGATGTGCTGGGATTACAGGCATGAGCCACCACGCCCTGCCAAGCTACGTCTAATTCTTTTAGCATTATTTCCGTCCACTCTGGTGTCTAAGTGACTTTTTTAAAGACACCTGTAAGGCCACTAGAATGAAATAAAAGTGGGTAAGGATGGCTAGAGCGGGCCCCTCCAACACCCTGAGAATCAGACTTCCCTGAGAAGTCGAAGCTGGAGAAACCAGGGAACACAGAAAGCAGGTCCCATGAGGCGGGGAGGGGACCTGGCCATGTGGGCGTGCAACCCCCGCCCATTCGTGTGGCTCCTGTGCATGGACATACTTGTCCCTCGAGGACTGCACTTGCAAACGTGTTAATCCACATCTCCCATGTCATCACCACACCTGGTAGCCTGGTGCGGTGGGGCCTGAAGACCTACACTCGTTCATGGGTCACATCCCTGAATCATTAATTCGGTGACTTGATGTAAGTCACTCAGCCTCTCTCCATGTTCCTGCTCTCAGCTGAATATGGAAGAAACTGAACCAGCCATGTTGACGGTTCTTTCCAGCGCTAACCTTTGCAAGAGCTCAAGTTGTGTCACAGGTGAGCCACAAAATGAATAGATTACGTAAAAGAGGAAAGGCCTGCAGGGCTTCTAAGAGGTTCCTCATGCTGTGCTAAGGTGGTTTATATTACAGCATCTGTCAGATTTTCAGCTGCTTTATGTGTGACTCTGGAGAAGTTGCCAGTCTGCGCTGGTTTTGCCTTTCAGATGACTACCTGGCTGCAGCTAACATGGAAAAATGACTGTCAAAGAATTCTCTTGGGCCCAAAAGGAGGGTGATTTAGGGCTGAACCGCGCCCTTTCCTGGTCAGTCATCTGCAGACAGCCCTTTCCTTTGAGATGAAGAGTGTGACTTCTGCGTTTTGGAGGGCAGGTCAGTGGGCTCACTCCCTTCCAGCCTCCTCTCCCCACGGCCAGGGCTGCTGTTGCTGCATGTGTTGCAAGGAGCTGCTGGGGTTGATTTAACCTTTCCAGGAAGGTTAAACACACTCGTCAGAGACAACATAGATGCCGTGGTATCTTGTGAGGTCTTCATTCTGGTCCCAGCCTTCAGGGGCCCCTTTTGTGTACCCGGGGAGAGAGGTTAGAGATGAGGTCTGCCTAGGGAATACGGCACAATTGGAACCACTGAGGGAAAGAGGCAGCAGGACGCGACATGTTTCCTGGCTCTTGGCATGTTTATCTCAGCTACCTCCATTTTTTTTTTTTTTTTGAGGCAGGACCTCACTCTGTTACAGCCCAGGCTGGAATGCAGTGGCATTATCATGGCTCGCCGCAGCCTCCAACTCCTGGGCTTAGGCAATCCTCCTGTATCAACCTCCTAAGTAGCTGGGACTACAGGCATGCCTCACCACACCCAGCTGATGTTTTTGTTTGTTTTTGTAGAGATGAGGTCTAGGCTGGTCTCAAGCAATCCTCCTGCCTCGGCCTTCCAAAGGGCTAGGATTATAGACATCAGCCACCGCCCCCCCGCCCCAGTTTGCTTTATTAAGAATGGAGGGGAGTAGTCCTTACTGTATCCTTGATATCCTGAGATGATGGCGGAGGCAAAAAATGTCTTGTAAGTGTTTTAAAATTGCTCTACAGGCCGGGCACAGTGGCTCACGCTTGTCATCCCACCACCTCATTCTTAAAACACGTGGCTTTCTTCTCTTTCTGGAGGATAGTTATGCAAGCAGAATTGCTTGACAGAAAGGTCTGTATGGCTCCTGCCTCAAATTACAGCAGCTGGAAGAGAAGCACTGAGCAGGAGCGAGAGGAGCCCGTGGAGTATGAAGTGAAGCCAAAGCGTGGGTGGGAGCCGCCAGGGAACCAGGGAGAATGAAAACCAGAAGCGGGATCCCGTGGCCTGCGAGGGCCCCTGTCGGTGGTGGCGAGGAGTGGGAGGGAGACGACAGCTGCCTCTCATTTTCCCAGACTCTCTTGGTCTCAAGAACCGCAGTGACCTCGGAAGGCCGAGTCCACGTTGGTGCATGTCTGTATCCCAGGAGAAGGCAGGCCCCCGTGCCCTGAGGACAGCCACGAGCCTTTGCCCGCTGGGTGCACAGATGGGAAGGCTTGGCCTGAAGCCTGCCCTTCAGTGGAGGGCGAGAGTGAAAAACCAGAGGCCCAGAAAAGACAGGACCTGCTCCTCGTAGGTGGATGCCCTGATTACGTCTCAATCCCCCTCTCCACTCACGCCTTGTGCAAGTGAGTGTGTTGGGTCAGGGAAGGAGAAGTAGTGTGCAGAAGCCACACCCAGATGGAGCACTAGCACCCAGCTGGCCCTGTGGCATTCTTAACAAATGCAGGAAAACCAGCGGGGACCTGGCCGTCCCCAGCAAGATTTCATTCTGACTCTCCTCTCTCTCCAGCAAGGTGTCGGGCCTGCTGGCTTGTTACTGGGCTGCTCAGGAGACACCAGTGAAGTTCAAAACACACAGAGGGCCAGGCTCAGTGGCTCAGCCTGTAATCTCGTGCCTTTGGGAGGCTGAAGTGAGTGGATTGCCTGAGCCCGCGGGTTTGAGACCCGCCTGGGCAGCGAGACCTCATCTCTACAATAAATCAAAAAATCAGCCGGGCGTGGTAGCGCATGCCTGTCATTCCGGCTACTTGGAAGGCTGAGGCGGAAGGATCGCCAGAGCCCAGCAGGTCGAGGCTGTGGTGGCTGGGAGCGACCACTGCACTCCAGTCTGGGCGACAGAGTGAGACTCTAACTCAATAAAACAAACAAAAAACAACAAAAAAAACACACAGAGGAAGGGCCGTGCACTGCCACAACACAGTGACAGGTGTGGTGCAGACCTCTGGGCTGCAGCAGGCTGAGAGGGGCCAGGATCACTTAAAGGTGAAAACCTTTTTTCAAAGGATATCCAAGTCGATGCCTTGTTTCATCAAGGTGTGTTGTGAAGTATTGTGCCTTCCAGCCTGTGCTGATCTTATTGTGGAAGCATCTTACAAGCATCAGGTGTGCTGTGAAGCCTCTAGCTGGTCGGTTTCTCGCGTTGCTGATCTGGTTAGGTCAGACAGTGATGATGTCACTTCTGCTCAGCCCATGGCCAGGACGGATCTCCTGGCCCTGTCAACTGCAGAGGCATTTGGACATGTGGGAGCACATGCCCTGAGTGTAAATGTCTTTGCCACACTGATTTTTTTTTTTTTTTTGAGTTGTAATCTCACTCTGTTACCCAGGCTGGAGTGTAGTTGCATACTCACAGCCTCTGCAGCCTCGACCTGCTGGGTTCAGGCGATCCTTCTTCCCCATCCTTCCAAGTAGCTGAAACCACAGGTGTGCGCCACCACACCTGGCTAATTTTTTTGATTTATTGTAGAGACAAGGTCTTGCCAAGTTATCCAGGCTGGTCTCAAACCCCTGGGCTCAGGCAATCCTCTTGCCTTGGCTTCCCAAAGTGTTGGGATTACAGGCATGAGCCACCGTGCCTAACTATTTTTTTTTTAATTAAAGGGAAAAGTGGTTCTGGGACCCACAGGGTCAGAGGTGAGCAGGCACCAGACAGCACAAGGCAACAGATCGATCCTGGGGTAGCTCCCACTTTGGGGACCTTCAAAAATCCCCAAACATGTAGTCCTCATCACTTGAGTTTTCACTCCTCTCCCCCCAAATTTGTATTCTCAAAACCTGACCATTTCTCCTTCTTCTGGAAGTTCTAATGATTCCTGAATCTTACCAAATCAACATTGTCATTGTCACTTCAGAGTGACAAATACAAATACATTCATTTATGTCCCAGCTGCTTCCAGAGCTGTAGGTGGGACATACCCCTGGTGACTGAAACAGACATGGTCTCTGCTTCTAGTCTCATGGGAGGATAGCAGGGACCATCAATCAGTTTAGGTCCCTCTGACTTACACATGCAAAGCTGGGTGTGTGAACCTGGCCAGTCAAAACATCCTCCTCCTCTTTCTTCAGACATCAATACCTTCATAACTTTTGGGTTAGCACCCTCGATTGAGGCAGGAGTCCTTTATGTGAAGCTATTAGATTGAAAATAGAAGCATTCAGTGGGCAAATATGTCGGTTAGTTGGTAAGTGCACCCGACACACTCGAACATACCAGGAGGGCATATCTTCGGAAGTCAGGGAGCCCGTTGGTGACTCACCTTCAGATAGCAGGGCTCGCCCACGGCAGCACCTGTGTCTGCACTCCTCGGGCTCCCCAACCTCTGCCCAAAGAAGCAGTCACATGGCCCCTTGCCCTGGTCACCACCCTGCCAGTTTCAAACACCCGTGGAGGCCCCAGGCCTACCAAAAGAAACACATGGTCCCCAGGACCTGAGCCAGGAAGAGTCCAGAGCTGCAGGGCCAAAGGCCTCCAGAGGAACTAGGGGCCACTGAGGTCTAACCCTGCGGGGCAGCTTAGGTAAACTGAGGAAGGAGAATGACATTCTAGCAAAGGACTATGCATGCGAGAGGCATCACAGTGAGATGGAAACATGGCAGCTTTAGGTCTTGATCAGGCCTCTGTGTGATCCTAGCAAGTTATGGAACCTCTCTGGGCCTGTTTCCTCATTTGCTGGGTTACCTTCTATCTACTCTAGAAGATTGTTGTGCCATCATGCAGTGTCGGGCATAGGGTCCCACGTGGCGGGTGCTCAGTAAGCAGCATCACAAAGTTGTCACTGCGGTGAATCGCGACATTCCTGGATGGAGGATTGGACCTGCTGAGCTGGCCTCGGCCCAAGGCCAGCTTTCCACTGTGTACTTGCAGGCGGTGACCAGCAGCAAGCCCAGGCCCCTGCCTGCCGCGCCCAGAGCAGCACCTGCCTCGAGCACACCCTGCATGATACCCACCACGCCTCTCCAGCAGTACTGGGCCTCGCCCCCTTAGAGCTGTGTGCCAGAGCTAGAGAGGACCCAGGAGTTTGACTGCCAGCTCCACCCTAGCCAGGAGCCTCACCTCATGCCCTACCCAGCCTCCTCACTGGTGACTCAGCCTCAGTCTCCTGCACAGTCTGTGCTGCATACCTGCATCAGGTGAATGTCCCAAGCCCTTCTGCTGACATGACCCCCGGGGATGCCTCCCCTACTGTGGGTCTAGACTTGGCGCATTGCAGAATCCTCTTGGGAGCTCTGAAAATCCAGGTGACGGGGCTGCGCCCCAGACTTCTATCAGACTCCCCTCCTCCACCCATCAGTCGTGTCTAAGCTCCTCATGTGGCTGCAAATGTGTTCAGCTGGGAGCTAGGGAAGCGGCTCCCCAGAGTGGAATCAGGCGTGGAACTGGGGGTGGGGTGGGCAAGATGGGGACCAGCTCTACCCGGCAGAGGCAGTGTCATCACCATTGCTGGAAATGCACAGTCTCAGGTCCCACTGATTGTTGATTCGGAATCTGCACTTGCAAGAGCCCAGGGACTCCCAGCACTGTCAAATTTCAGAAACACGTGCACCAGCTTTTGCTAAATGCCCCCGGTGGTCAAGTGCAGGGCCAGGTGTTTTACACACACCATCTCATTTAGTCCTCCCCCCCGCCGCTGTGAGCACCCCCTTTTGACAAACAAGGAAGCCACCTGCCACCCATTCAACAAAGCCTGCACACCGTGACGGCGGTGTGCCAGGGACTGGGACACAGACAGGCGCCCCTGCTGGGGAGGGCTCAGAGGCCCTGGGATGTGGCTTTGGGCGTCTCATCAGCGGTGGGCTCCTGGGCGACGTTCTCAGCCTCTCTGGGCTCCGTCCCTCTCCTGCAGACCAGCGGCTAACGACGCCCAGGGCTGTGCCGTGACTCAGTGACCTTCCCCCAAGCCAGGTACCACCAGGCCCGCATCTAGCCGGAGCTCAAGAGAGCAAAGCGCACCCGGTGGCAGGGAGGAGGGGGTGAGGAGGACCCCCGGGCCCCGGCGACGCCTGGGGCGGTGGCGGCAGGATGACAGCGAGGTCGAGAGGGACCGGAGTCTCCCAGGAGGGCCCGGCCCAGAACGCGCTCCGG